CCCCCCCCCCCCCCCCCCCCCCCCCAACTGCCCATTGCTACAAGGCTTGTTCAGGACCCTAAAGCCTAACATCCAGTCTTGTCCAAGTTGCCCTACTTTTGTAAATAGGAGTCACTGTATCCCTGCTGGTTCTCTCACACCATGCTAGATACTTCTTTGATTCAGTTATCTCAACCACCTACCCAAGCCCTTCTTAACACATTGCTGTAGCTCACTTCTTCCTCCCTCCTAGTCCCTCTCCAAGCCCTGAGATATTTCCATGGTTGGGGAAGGAAGAGAGATGGGAACGCCCTCACTGAGCATTCCCTTGGGGGGTTCCAAGTCGGGGGGCAGGGCAGGGTGGGGGCTGCCCTCACGTCCCTGGAGTGACTTTTACCTAATCTGGACACAGCCAGCCACAGCCACACTCCCATGGACACTGCTGATGGGATGGGGGAAGAGGAAGATCCACAGAACAACTCTGCTTCACTCAGGGTCTGTCCAGGACCCATCAGTTGCTACATACCACTGCACTTCCCTCTCACCACCTCACTCCAGCCCCAGCAAAAAGAACCACTGTCAGGTCCAGGCATCCCCTCTCCTCCCATTGCCACCCAGCTCTCCCCTTGCATAGCCTCAGGCATGGCCCCCAGTGACACCATTGTACAGAGACCAAGAGCAGAAATCGTTTGTACATAGTGAACCTTATTTTGTATTATTGCTGATCCCTTAAGATATTGTATTTTGGAGACTCTCAGATCCTATTTTCAATATTGTATTTTATTAAGAGTTAAAGCGGGCTTGGCCTCTATGAACTTCCTCTCTTTTGGCAGCTCTCTTTCCCCTTGTAGCCCAGCAGCTGCCTTTTCCTTCATTTGCCTCCCTTTCTTTCCCTCCTGTCTCTTGCTCTGCAGTCGCTTTGGAGAAGCAAAATAAAAAAAAAAAAAAAAAGATGCAGCATCAGCACTTGGTGGATTGGTCCTTTCATTTTCTCGTTATCTTGCCAAAGCACATGGCCAACATCATCCCTTAGGGGTCTCAGGCTTCTGGAAAGCCCTGTTGTCCCTCTTCACACAGCCTCTGAGTAGTGTGAACAAGTAGGCAATCTCATTTGCCATTGTACCACAGCTTGCTTTTTGACTGTGGGCAAACTATAGTAACCGGATCCTAGTTTCCCTACCTGCAAATCATGACTAATCCCTTCCTCCCAGGGCTGGGTGAGGATTCTGATAGAATATTTATAAGGGGCTGTGAGAACCTCTGGCAGGATGCTGCATTTATGCCCCTGTGTCAGAGGTATCTCACCCAGCACCCTCAGTCCTCCCGGGTTGGCAGCCCTCCCGGATTGGTCGGGAGTCTACCAGAATCGACATCGATTTCCCGGTGACTGTTGAAAGCAATCCGGGAGATTTTAATAGGATATTTTAAGAAAATAAATTTAATTAATGACATTATGTCATGCTGGGGGGAAAAATCTCCCAGAATAGATTCAGTCAGAGTTGGCGACCCTACCTCAGTCTATTATCCTGTGTCTTGGGGAAACCAGAGCAAAGCAGTACCTTTTGACCCTACTGTGCATAAAGCCCAATAGGAAATCAGGCCCTTCATTTTCTTGAGTGTTCCAGAGAGATTCATGACCACTTTAGGGAGTGATATGGCCCTTCCTACAGCTGATAACTTGGGTCCTGCCTTTCATTTAGCCCCCTCTTGAAAACTTGATGGTGATGGAAAACTGTCTGCAAGCTGCAATGTCCTCCTGGTAGCAAGTTGCCCAGAAACGTGGGCAGCATTCTAGTCATGGCCTCAGCATTGCCCCAGGGGGAGGGCTCCATGTCCTGTTTGTGTCCAGGCCATTGTGACCCTACCTGAACAGCCTCACATGGTTGCAATTCTTCCCTGCAGCATGTCACAGGCAGAAGGCTAGAGTGCTAAGTTTCGATGTTTGCAAAGCACTTCCAGATCTTTCTGTGGAAGGACAAAGGATTGTTATTCTTTCTTGCATAGATCAAGTGCACCCACGTGACCCATTTAAGACAATGAGACTTGTTATTTACAAGCATTTTCTTCCCTGGGTTGGGGGGAGCATGCAGAATGGACCCGTTACCCACACAGGATTGAGTGAGCTTCCATTTATCTATGTAGTGACTGACACAGGGCCTGTGCATGGTTACTGTCTGCCACAGGTTCTCTCCAAAGTCCCCTTGAAGGGAGAGGATGCTACCCCTCCTCTTCATGGTCCTAAATGCTAATGGTGAGACAAGGAAATGTGACTCTTTCTTGCCCTGCACTTTGTGTCCTTGACTGGTGCTACATCTCCTGGTCACTCAGTTCTACACATCTGAAGCAATGTCCACTCTAGGCTGGGTCTGGCAAGGTGTCTCACCAGAAGAAAAGATCTGAAGGGAAGGAGTCTGCTCAGATTCCTTATTCTGTGCTGTCTCCTTATATGCTTCTTTGTAAGTCTTCTGACTTACAGGACTGAGCTAGGCCTAAGGGGTGATTGGGGTAGTTTGCTCACTGATCCCTTGTCCAAACAAACAGCCCCCTAAACACATGGTAGCATGAGAAATCCCACCCCTCTTCACCCCCATCCCACAATGTCACTTCTCCCTGCATCTTGTGGAAGTCCCACTAGAATGGGGCCTACATCCCTGTTCTCTCTGAGCTTGTCACACAAACTATTCTAGTGCATCTTTGCCTGCTATTTGCACATATGAGCTGCCAAGGAAATGACCCAAGAACAGAGGCCTTAACAGGAACATTTGGAAATTCCTGGCCCTTTTAAAACCGATGTTGCTGAGGAAGGCGGGAGTTCTTAGCTGACAAGAGCAAATTCCCCTTCACCTTGAAAAATCATCTGAGTTTCTCAGCTTGCAGATTAAGCTGCTCGAGGTCTTTAAAAATTTTGTTTCTGGACCTTTTGATCATTGCTAGACCTCCCAGCCAACTGCAGGGTTTAACTCAGCAATTAACTGTAGTAGAACAAGGAACTATAACACAGTGAGAAGGTCTTTGTTTACAAGCCACCTGCAGCTACACTCCATTAGATTCAATTGCCTGCCTATTCCACCTGACAAGTGCCTCAGACTTGCCCACCCAGAATGCTGCAGGCCTTAGAGGTTCAGTAACCAAGGGGCAATTACAGCCCCACACCCCATGGGTCCCCCAGCTCCAGGCTAATTGATAATGGCAGTCAGCTGGTTAGGCTCCCTGTACTCCAGTCTGCTTAAACATCCTACCTCAAGCCTAAAGCTGCAGGCACTACTTAAAATTATGTTTTACCCTTCTAACCAGGTGGCCAATACAGTGTCTGCAGGTGGCCAGAGCTGGAGCATTTTCCTTGGGAGAGTCCTGCCCTAGGGTTTCAGCAAGCATGTGAAAAGAGTCTAAGTGCACTCAGTCAAGCCCCCTGAAGATTTATACTACCTGTCCTGCCAGAAATGTATAGGCAAGTGGCAGGACCATCCCAGATAGGATCTGTGCTGTCTCTTCCCATTCCTATTTCATAGATGCTAGGGTCGGAAGGGGCCTCAACAGATTATCAAGTCCAACCCCCTGCAAGAGTGCTGGGATCAGATGACCCCAGCCAGTTGCCTATCCACTCCAGCCTATCCTCAGATGCCTATCCTTAGCCTTACTCTTCGATATAGCAGCTGCCAACAAACAGAAAGTCAGCCTAGACTCAGCAATGCTCCTGTCAATGGGATGGGGTGACTGGTGCCTCCTGAGTCACCACCCAGGCACAATTTGTGGGTGGGCCCAAGGGTGGGCCAAAAGCACCATATCCACTCCTGTACTTCTGAACTATGGCTTAGTGCCCTGTGCAACATGCCCCCAGCTGGTGTGGCAAAAAAATTGCCCCATCCTGCGCAGTGTCAAGTTTGGGGCCAATCTCAGGGGGGCAACTTTCCCCGCCCCATGTCCCCTCTACCAGTCGCCTGTGGATGGGGAAGAAAGGAGAGGACATCTTCAGACCTTGTCTTCTCCCACAGCACACCCATTCCCCCAGCAGCATCTACTATCTGTCTTTAAAGGCCACTTGTTTGGGGAGTCTCATGTTAGAGCTGCTCTCAGCTGAAGGCCAAGGTAGGCTTACTTCCCTCAGGGAAGCTACAGGATACAGCAAGTTCCACAATTTTCAGTCCCACACCTTGACCTGACTGGTTCTGTTCTCCTTCAGCTGAGAAGGCTGCAGCTGGTACATACCCTCCAGAAGCCCCAGGAAGCCACAATCTCTCTTGCTTGATTTTTACACTGAGTGTTAAATTACTTGTCCCTTCTTTGTCATCCCTTCGGTCCACAGAGGCCAGGCCTGTGTTCCCTGTACAGGAAGAGTTCTTTCTATGTTGCCTGCATAAGAACACAGCCTGGAGAGAGTAAAGCCCTTCCACACATAAATAGGTGCAGTAAAAATTAAGGGAGTGTGTTTATCCCCCTATTCCTCTCTCATCCTTGCTGAGATATTCATTCAAAGCAGCTGTTAGCAAAGATCCT